GCTCTGGAGGGTCGGGCTCCGGCCGTTGTCACGTTGACGCGGGGGTCGTCCCGGCCGCCGCCATCCCGACCGGAAGCGGCTGGTCTCATTCGGAGCTGGAAGCGCGCGTGTCAGCCGGTCGCCTTCGCTCCGCACGCGAGGAGGCTCTTCAGGGAGCGTTTCCGCGCCGCCGCCGCCTCCGCCCCACACGCCCCGGGTGCAGAGGCGCGTCGAGCCGCGGCTCGAAGGGAAAACGCCGAACGGGGACTGGGCGCGGGAGGAAGGCCTCGGGCTCCGGGCTCTGCCGCCCCCACCGCCCCGAGGGCTGGGCCCTGGCGCCGGCAGCCCGGCCTCCGCGGTGAGCCCGTCGCGGCGGCGCGTGGACAGGAAGCCCCCGGAGGCCGCTCTCCGCCGCCTCTCGTTGCTCTCGGAGAAGCAGGTTCCCGGCCGGGCTCCCGACGCCGTGCGCCCCTCCCGGTCTCTCTCCTTTTTGTCGCCGGAGCCTGGACCCCGGTCAGAGGTCGAAAGGCCGCATCCAGCGCACGAGGTGGTGGAGCGCTGCAGGTCGTGAGTTCCTTTCCGCCGTTTAGACGGCAGGAAATGGCACATAACACCTGGATTTCCAGCTGCTTTTGGAAACTTGGAGGCTTTGGGACACGGCTTCCCCGCTTCATTCCATGGCCACCCCGGCCCCTTAGACACCAATTGGCACGAACACCTGCTGAGGACACTCTGGCCCCACGGGCGTGAGCCTGCGCCGTCTGGGTGCCCGTTCGTCACACAAGCAGGTTCTGAGCACCAGGGCGCCTGGCACCCGCCTCGGCACCAGCCCTGTCTCCCAGCACTGCCCCGTTCCTCTTCCAGATGCAGAGAGGAGGCTCCCGAAGTCACGGGTTGGTTACCCGGCTGGCAAGTGGCAGAGCCAGATCCAACCCCGGTTCTGCCTGAGGCTCAGTGGCCACCAGGCCCATCAGCACCTCCCCGACGTGCAGTCACCATGAAGTGAGACGACCTGCAAAGCGGCCCTGACATAGGAAGACGGCAGCTCTCCTGTTTCTGTTGGCCACTGTTTCCAACGGCAGCCTGTTGTGCATTTGCTCTACAACAGGAGGATTGCCGCATTCACAGATGCACTCACTGGCATTTCTGTGCAGGCGTGAGACCCAACATTGTGCGATTCTGTGTAGCCTGCAGTTAATATTTCTTAAAATGACGAACACGTGCCCTTTATACAGAAACCTAACCTAGAAATGCGGAGGGCTGGTGAGCTCAGCTCCTCAGCGATGCCTCTTACCGCGCGTTTCTGATTCTGATTCGTTTGAGAAACTACTGCTGAGCAGAACTACGAAGGACAAAGTAGAAACTGCAACCACCACAAGGTATGATCTGAGACAATCTGAGCAGCCGTGTGAGCTGTGCAGCTGGACCTGCAGCAGGAACGAAATCACGTCTCCGCTTTGGTCAGATGGAGTCGTCGCTGTGCCTGACAGCGGCGAGGGAACCTTCGTTCTCCCCACAAGCGGAAGAAGGAGGGCAGATGTCATGCTTTTAAAAAATTTAAAAAAAAAATACCATAGTGTATCAGAAGAGAGATGTGAATAGAACTGATTGAAGTTGACCTATGGTGTCTGGAGCTGGGATATTTATGTGGACGTGTATAACGTAAATGGTCAGGGAGAACTCAGGAATAGCTCTGGACGGAATGAGACTGAAGAAACAGGACACCTGAGAGCAGCACGTGACTGGTTTGGCTCTCGCTCTCAAGGACATAACTGGGCAGCTGGCCCTGGGAGATGAGAGTTCTTTGTGGTGCGCTCTCAACCTCCTTATAAGTATGAAATTATTTCGAAGTCAGTAAAAGTAACCACCTTTGTTCAAAAACTTTTATTTACTATAAAGACAAAACACCAAAATAGGTACAAATACTATAAAATTGGTTCAATGGGGTAAAAATTTTAATTAAAATATCTGGATATATTTAAAATAACAAAGGATACATTTTAAGCCAAATTTTCTTAACCCAGAGATTTTTTTTTGTAACATTTGCTTTACACAGTAAGGTGCTAATAGAAGTTAGCCCTTAAGCCCTGGAAGTCTTAGGAATCATAGTCACACAGCAAATATAATTTCATGTGAAAGTGAACTTTGGTAGAAGAAAAATCTATAGGACACCTGAGGTAGTAGAAACTGGAATAAACAGCAGTAGACGTTATTTACAACTTGAGTACCAAATAACATTAAGAACAAAAATAATTACACAATACAATTTTCAGTCCAGCTTTGATCCAAAGAAAATAAGAATATTACATCACATTTGCATTGAAAACAAAAACGAAACAAAACACCACAATTACCAGCAAGCTGAGGGACCTGCACACACACTCAAACAATGGGCTTCGACATGCCACGCTGTCTGAGCTTGCGCTCTGGCGGGCATGGTGATCTGCAGAGTAATACTGATGCGCTGCGGTTCCTCATGTACACAGTTCACGCTGCTGTCAGACCGGATTCGTCTGACCAGTGATCTTCCAGTAATAAAATGGCAAGAGTGCATCCTTTAAAGCCTGCACGTGGGACTCGAGACAATCTCATTAGACTGCGAAAATGCCAAGTAGTCAACACAGAGGAATAAAAAAGAAAGTCAAGTACAACACATTTAGAGCTACCAAACTTCACATTTCGGTACTATTTTTAACTCTTCAAATATTGCCAATCTTCCAAAACAAAGGAATGTAAAATTTCACTAAGAAACACATTCACATTTTTAAAAACTGCCTTTTAAAAATTATATGCAATATATCCCTGTAAACTTACCTGGTAAGTTATTTGTGACTTCCAATTTGTGATGTACATTTAAAATGTAATCTGTGTAGCTTATTTAGTTTATCCTGAGTCTTTGAGAATAACCAATTCTAGTTCACCCTGCCATGATTCAACTGGCTTCTGAAGAGTTAAAACTTAATCAGTACTTGATTTAGAGACTCACAAAAAAAAAGGATAAAGAGCTGCCATTTTCCTTCAGGATCCGAATTCAACTGAGACGAAAACCATTAGATAATTGTGCAGGATCCAGTGAATTAGTTTGTAATTGAAATTCAATTCACTTTTCTATGAGGACATTTTCCAAGTTCAAAGCAAACGTCTAGTTTAAAAACACTATTACTCATTGGTGGTTGAGGAATGAAGTTAATTTTCCTTTCATTCTCCACCAGGGCCGCCTGTGAAGAGAAGGAAAACAGCAGCTCCGTGCTCACCAGCAGTGGCGATTTCCACACGAGTGAGACTTAGTTGGTGAAGCTTCCTACAAATGAAACCAATTACAGAAACTCAGATTCCAAGGTAATCTTGATCTTGGCTGTGCTGCCTCACAGAGAACAGTTGCTTTTCTCTGAATTCACGTTTAACCTGCACCAGAAGAGCAGTGACGGACTCGATGAAGGTAGTAGTAAAACCCAATTTTAAAAAAACAAACAAAATTCTGTATTAAAAAACTCTTGCCACAGCAAGATATT